TATCCTGCTATATATATATTTGTTGTTGTTAAGTGTCGTTGAGTCGGTTCCAACCTATAGCGACCCTGTACAGGGTCACTATAGGTTCACAGTCCGATTCATAACCACTATACACACACACACACACACACACACACACACACACACACACATATATATATATATAATGTTATTAAGTACCATAGAGTTGGTTCCAACTCACTTCCAAGGAGTGGCTGATGGGTCTCAACCACCACCTTTTGGTTCAAATCGACCTTGTGGTCTAGTGCTTACCCTACAGCACCACACTGATTATATATATATACATATATATATATATATATATCCAGATCTTGTTGCATGTATATAACCAAGGAAATGAAGTGAATGTTAGTTTAATGAAAACTGATGGAATATCAATTTTTTTTTTTTAAAAAAGCTATAAGTCTCATCTTCCATTTGTTTCAATCAATTTCAAAAATGATTATGTCTGTCTATGATGAAGAGAAGAGAGACAGTTACAGAACAAGGAAAAGGAGAGAGATGGGTGAAAATGTATGGTCAAGGTTATGGAAGTGGTAGAATTGAAGGTAACGTAGTGGTTACGAATCAGGCTGTGAACCTTAAGGTTCAGCAGTTTGAAACGATCAGCTGTTCCACGGGAGAAAGATGAAGCTTTCTACTCATGTAAAGATTTACAGCCTCGGAAACCCTTAGGATCACTATGAGTCGGAACTGACTCCACGGCACATCATGCCCACGCCACACCAAAAATAAAAAGGACTGAAAACCATGCTGAATTATAAATTAAAATTCTATTCTTGTCCCATTCAAAATTTCTCTATTACTGCTCCAGGGTGTTAAGATCTTCTTTAGTGTGCTCATTGATTTTAATATTAAGTACAATATATTTACGAGACATTAAGTATTAACTTCAAGGAAATGATCATGATTATATAGGCAAGGGGATCGAAAGGTCAGTGGTTCAAACCCACCAGCCACTCCTTGGAAACCCTTGATAGGGTCACTATGAGTCAGAACTGACTCGATGGTACTTAGCAGTCCTTATATCAGAAAATTCCCTTTGATCTACCTCATGACATTTCTTTCCTACATTCTAGTACTTTCTTTTCTATTCCTGGCTTCATGGAGTACATTAAGTTCACCCTTAAACTTTTCTCAAAGAAAAAAATTCAAATTTCTTTATATGCTATTTCTCATTTCAATTTTTGGAAATCTCTGCTAATTGATATGGTCCATGAGACCAATGAGCCCTGGTATGGCGCTGTAGGATAAGCACTGGGCTGCTAACCACGCTAACGGCAAGGTGGGCAGTTCAAACCACCAGCTGCTCTCAGAAGTCCTATACAGGTTTTGCTATGAATCAGTACCGACTCGATGGTATACAACAACAACAACAGGACACTACGCTACTAGCGCTCCTTATCCTTTGTTGTAAGTGCTGTCAAATCAGTACAGACTTATTGTGACCCTGTACTGCATTCCAGAGAGCGGCCGATGGTGTGAACTGCCCACCTTGCCATTAGCATGGTATCATTAGGATACGATATATAGTCTAATGACGCTACAATTGTAATTAAAGCAACCATATAATTTATTGCCCAATTGAGGAGATTTTTGAATGGAAGTTGGACTCTTATTACTCATTTAGAGGGCACAGGAGACCGAAAGTTGGGCAACGTTCGCTTTTATTATTGTTGTTGTTAATGCTGTCGAGTCGGTTCTGACCCATAGCGACCCTGTATAGGGTTTCCAAGGAGCGGCTGATGAGCTTGAACCATCGACCCTGCGGTTCAAACGACATTGCAGTCTTGACGCATTAGCCCACAGCAGCACACCAGGTTAAGCACTGACTGCTTAATATGAAGAATAAGGAGCTCTGTTAGCACAGTGGTTACAATCGGGCAGTGAACCTTAAGGCCAGAAGTTTGAAACTACCAGCTGTTCCGCAGGAGAAAAATGAGGTTTTCTGCTCCCTTAAAGATTTACAGTCTAGTCGCGGCCTGGAGACGCTTCTGGAAGAACCATCGCGATGGCCGCCCAAGGAGAACCCCAAGTGCAGTTCAAACTCGTGTTGGTGGGTGATGGCGGTACTGGAAAAACGACATTTGTGAACGTCATCTGACTGGTGAATTTGAGAAGAAGTATGTAGCCAGCCACCTTAGGAGTTGAGATCCATCCCCTTGTGTTCCACACTAACAGAGGACCGATTAAATTCAATGTGTGGGACACGGCTGGTCAGGAGAAATTTGGGGAACTTAGAGATGGCTATTATATCCAAGCCCAGTGTGCCATTATAATGTTTGATGTAACCGCAAGAGTTACTTATAAGAATGTGCCTAACTGGCATAGGGATCTGGTTCGAGTATGTGAAAATAAACCCATTGTCTTGTGTGGTAACAAAGTGGACATTAAGGACAGAAAAGTTAAAGCAAAATCCATCGTCTTTCACCGAAAGAAGAATCTTCAGTACTATGACATTTCTGCAAAAAGTAACTACAACTTTGAAAAGCCTTTCCTCTGGCTTGCTAGAAAACTCATTGGCGATCCTAATTTGGAGTTTGTTGCAATGCCTGCTCTTGCCCCACCAGAAGTTGTCCTGGACCCAGCTTTGGCAGCACAATATGAGCATGATTTAGAGGTTGCGCAGACTACTGCTCTCCCAGACGAGGATGATGATCTGTAAGAGAACGAAACTGGAGCCAGCGTCAGAAGTCTAGTTTTATAGGCAACTGTCCTGTGATGTCAGTGGTGCTGCGTGTTTGCCACTTTATTATATATAGCTAATTAGAATATGTGCTAATCTTTGGGATGCTGAAATAGATGAATGGGCTTCGGAGTGAATGTGGCAATTAAAAATACCTGCATTTTTTGAACCTACATATCTAGCTGTTGGAACGCAGTTGTTTCCTTTTGAGTTTCAAATATACGACTGCTACAGTCACATCCCACTATTCAGTGGTGAAATCTTGTTTGTTACTGTCATTCCCATTCCTTACCATTTAGAACCAGAATAAAGTTGTATTTCAAAAAAAAAAAAAAAAGATTTACAGTCTCAGAAACCCTGTACAGGGTCACTATGAGTCGGAACCGACTCCACAGCACATAACAACAACAACAAATATGAAGAATATCTTCTAGTTTCAGTACTCCAACAATGAATTAAAGGGCAGAGGGGAAAAATGTGAAATAATGAAAATACCATACCATACCCCCTTAAGAAAACAAACATGGAGAACCATGAAATTTAAATATTTATTTATTTTAAAACCTCAAAACACTGGAGTCTGCTTCACCTACAAACAGTTTACAGGACTAGTAACTATAATGGACAATAAGCCATACAATTTGTCCCTGTGATGCAGTTGTGTCGTAAAGTTTCAAAGAATCAATTTAGAAATGTGTTGCTTTTACTTTTACAAAAATATTCATTGAATCCACAATGTGAGCTGCAAAACTATTTTCAGACTTCTACATATTATAAATTGTAACTAAGTTTCAATTCCATAGCAAGTGAAAATTTTAACTGAAGGATTACTTCCAAGTATAACGTGTTAAAACTAATTATTACAGGTAGGCACCAATGAAAATCATTTTATTGGCATATGACACCACAATATCTTTCTCAAGTATTTGTATTATTTTAAAGAAAGAGAATGTAATGGCCACTTTGATGCAAAACTGTGTTCTTTACTTGAAGAACACCTTCATTCTAACATTTGGCAATAATTCAGTTAAAAGAAACCCAAACTTGTGTGCAAAGCTTAAACTGTGAAGATCCAAATATTAAAACATTAATGAAGAAAACTAATTTAATATCAATTAATCCAAACCTAATAAAATATAGCTCTAACTCAAAACTTAGATATATATATACATACTAGGCTTAAAAGGAAAAGATATTACCCACTGAAAAGTACCATAAATATAACTGAAAATTAACTGTACAGTCTAACTTACCTTTGAATAGACAGAAATCATACCGTACTTACTATGATTTTCATATGAACGAGAAAACATTCATTTAAATACCCTTTCAAAAGGAGAGTATACTTATATCCGTTGTTAATAATGCAGAACAAAAAAATGTATAAATATTTCATAGACCAGTTCACTACCATGTCAAAAATATGCTGGTGTAAATTATATTCATATCAGCTTTTTTAAGCTCCCCCAAATCCAAGAACATATTATACCATTTTAGTTGGATATTTAAAAATGAAATCACATTAATTTGTCCAGTACTACCAAACACCCATCCTGGGCTAAATGATATTGCCTTAAATTTCCAACCATGTTAAATAAGATCAAATTGGCCTCTTCTACTTAATGTTGCTTGCAAATGTCTCATAGAGCTGCCCAGAGCATCATGTCTACTTGGTAGAAGAATTCATATTTTCCCAGCTTTCTGAGGGCTTATTAAAACCATCTGTTTTATGTAGCTATAACTTATTTTTACCTCCCCATCAACAGTCATGTTTAGAATGTGATTATATAAAAAAAAAAAGTAAAAGCTTTTTGATGTTTGGTGATTTATAAAGTTGAATTTAGGATGACTTTGAAAGAACTGTATGTTTCATGAGTGTACAGCTAACTAAAGATCAAAACATGAAAGGTATTCATCCTAGTAACTTAAGTAATAATAATATCTAAAAGCAAAACTGGATCTCAACATTTACTAGAATACAGATGAAACTATAGTATTAAAAGTTACTCCTTACAAAATAACCTCTTCAAAATAGAAAATGATAAACACCATCACAAAATAGTTGAATAGGTTCTTCTATATCTTCAATCATCAATATGTTGCAAAGATCCAAAAGGCACATGGAGCTCATGAGTTCAGCATTGGTAAGCTTGAAGTAGCTTTGGTGGGATTCTCTGTGCCTGTGTGAAACAACAGGCCAATAGTATGATGTTTCTTAGGGGGTTTCATTTGCTGAACACCTAGAAGATGAATTAAAAAACAAAACAAAACATATCAGTGTCATAGATAGCATGAATTCTGATGGTCTTCATCTGTATGAAATCTGCAAAGAAGGAACTCATTTAAAATACTAGATAAATTTTTTCTATTGACTCTCATGTAGATGTTAAAAATAAACAAGTTTCAAAAATTCCTTTCGAGTCTGATTTGGCAACTTCCATATTACTGGTTTGCAACTGGAAAACAGAGGAAGAGTTTTATATTAAAATCTAAGGACTTTTGTTTGCTGTTGTTAAGTGCTGTCGAGTCAGAACTGACTTGACATGACCCTGCATAGGATTTCTGAGGCTTTAAATCTTTGCAGAAGCAAAAAGCCTCATCTTTCTTCTGAGGAACAGCTGGTGGGCTCAAACGGTGGACCTTGTAGTTCACAGTCTGGTACTTATTACATGGAGCCACCACGCTCCCTAAGGGAATTTAAGAGTAGCTTTAATTTATGACTGTTGTTGTATTGTTGTTAAGTGCCATAAAGTGTCTTCTCACAGCAACCCTGTACAGAACTTCCAAGGAGCAGCTGGTGGGTTTGAACCGCCTACTTTGTGGTTAGTTAGCCAGTGCTTATCCTACAGCACCACACCAGGACTCTGATTTATGAGTGTAAGTAGGATTTATCATATAAAAAGAGCTATGGGTGTATGTGCGTTTAGGGGCTATAAGTATATAGCTATATACTTAATTTCAACTTGACCCCAAGTGGCATCACAAATGCAAAGAAATGCAACAATGCACTGAGATACAATGGGGTTAAGGCAAAAATTGGTATTACTTTATAATACCTAGCTTGAGCTATGGAGTTGTAGATACATATGTGTATGCATACAAAAGTTTTGTTAAGAATAATATTTTAAATTAAACATCAGGGCTTTTTTTGACTGTGAACAAATTTAAACTAATGACTTCAAGAGACAATATGGAAGTTGAATTAAAACATAAAGGCCTTCTATAATCTGCAGTGGGTACCTCTTACTAAAATTCTTTCCTTACCTTTTAATATAGGGGTCAAACTTTGTATCTTTAAAACCAAAAGCTATGTAAATACCAGTGTTTCTTCAACTGATGAGGGCAGTGGCAGGAAAGAAAGCATTCCTAGGTGGTGTTACAAGGGTCCTAATAAGAATATGTCATTGATTCTATTGTAACTCACAGCAACATTATAGTACAGAGTAGAACTGCCCTATAATGTTTGTTGTTTCTGTTGTTAAGTGCTGTCAAGTCGGTTCCAACCCATAGTGATGCTGTATAGGGTGGTTTCCTAGGAGCGGCTGGTGAGCTTGAACCAGCGACCTTGCAGTTCACACTGACTTTGCAGTCCAGCGCATTAGCCCACAACACCACATCAGGTGGTTATGAATCTGGCTGCTAACCTCAAGGTCAGCAGTTCAAAACTACCAGTCGTTCGGCAGTAGAAAGATGAGGCTTTCTGCTCCCGTAGAGATTTATAGCCTCCAAAACCCTATGCAGGATCGCTATGAGTCAGAACTGACTCCGTGGTATACCACCACCACCACCACCACTTCCAGTAAGAATATACTCACTCAGTCACCTTTTGTGTATCCTACCAACTAACTGGCAGAAGAAAAGCAAACAGGCCTTTTTATTCAATGAAATACCTGAAGATAATAATCACAACAAACGATTCTTTAGGATGGTCAGAAAACAAAATAAGTGTTGAAGCATACTATTATGAAAAAGTGACTTTGTTAGGAATAATAAACAAATTATTGAATCAATCTAATTACATTATATCATAAATTACCATCCAATAGAAAATGTCAAGAAAACAATTTTAAATGACATGTTAAACTTACTTTTGAAATTTTTCAATTAATTTCTTCACCATTTTATCTGTGATGCCGGGACAGGCAGCTTCAGCCACAGCGATACTTTTCTCAAGTTCTTCTATTGCTTGATTCCTGCTCGCATTGTTTTCATCCTGCTGTTTCAGCTGAGAAAGAGCAAAAGCTATAACTCTGAAAACACTACTTGACTACAGATGTCCAGAGCTAATGATCTGCACTTACCTCGGCAAATGCAGGTGTGATGATCATAGACAAACAACTCAAGGTTTGCACAAAATCTTGCTCCTTTGAAATAAATAATACAGATCATATATGTGAGAAAGAAAAGATACATTTATGTCTTATGGCAAATGCCGGTATGCTGATCATAGACAAGCGATTCAGGGTTTGCATGAAATTTTACTCCTTTGAATAAATAATGTAGACCATACATGTAAGAAATAGTCATTCATGTGTGTCTTTAGTTCTTTCATACCACATGTTCACTAATAACATTGGACCACTAGCCCAAAAGACCTGGTCTAACACAAGTCCCAACGCTTCTTCCCATTACGAATTCCCTCTAACTTCGAGGATTATAGTGTTGTGGTGGTGGTTAGCTGCTATGGAGTCCTGCTGACTCCTTGCACAATGGAACAAAATACTGTCCAGTCTCTGCATCGTCCCCATCATCAGTGAAGGTATGGACTGTTGTAATCCATAGACTTTTCACTGCAGTACATGGCCAGGCCTTTCTCCCTAGTCCTTCTTGGTCTGGAAGCTCCACTGAAATCTAGTCAGCATTGTGCAGTACTTAAGCTTCCACTAACAGACAAGAAGTGTGGCTGTGCATGAGGTTCATTGGCCAGAAACTGAACCCCAGTTTCCCTCATGGTGCCCTGGTGGTGCTATGGGTTAGGAGCTGCACTGCGAACCGCATGGTTCACTAGCCACTCTGGGGGGAGAAATGGAGGCTATCTGCTCCCATCAAGATTTAGTATTGAAAACCCTCCATAGGGTTGCTATTGGTAGTACGTTTGGTTTGGTTTTGCTCTCTCTCATGGAAGGAGAGACTTCTACCATTGAACCTCCAATGCTTTATAATTGTAATGTTGTTGTTGTTAAGTGCCATTGAGTTGGTTACAACTTAGTTTCCAGGGAGCACCTGGTGGGTTTGAACCACTGACCTTGCGGTTAGCAATCTAGTGCTTATCCTATAGCATCACATCAGGATTCCATAAATCCTCTAGGTTTGTGTATTTCTATGCAAACTGCATTGAAAAAAAGACCAATGGCCACATACAATGACTTCTATTACCTGTTATTAATTAAGCAGACAGGCATTTAGGGGTATTACATTGTAAAAAGTTTTGACCATTTCTTTGCACAAAGGCTCTGAAGAGGCTGTGATCCTCTCCTTCAAGGAGTACGTACCGCCCCATTCTGTCGTTTCTTTGGGTCAGGTTTCTTCCGCACTGTAGTAAAACTCCATTCAGGATGAGTAGTATTTTCCCTGCTGGTGGATTCCCTAAGAGGTTGCCAAAGAGACCTTGATAAGTTGTTAAAGAATTCAGCTTGCTGCAGTTAGAAACTGAGGAGATAATTGTCCTCATGTTAAAAACAAACAAACACTCATAGTATAATAACAACCCAGATCACAGTTGCAGGTGGATGTTACTTGCAATGAGCAGCTGCAGAGGGTCTTTATTCTAAGTGTACATCTGAATAACCTGTGGTGACCTCCTAAGGAGGGGAGGGGGTGTGGTTTCAACACTTTCATGGAAAATTTCCATTATCTTTCAGTCCCATTTTTTTTCATGAAGTTTTTGAAACCCCTTTATACAGATGCCTGTTCCCCTGGTGCCTCCCCAGTCCTCACTGTCTGAATCAGGATCCCCAGTGTGGCTTGTGATTTTCTTTACAACTTCATGGGTGACCCTCATGGGTGGCAAAGGTCAACCACTCTTGGAACAGGGTATACAAACATCATGACATTATTTTATCCTCTTTAACATTTAAACAATTTCTTTGTTTTGTTTTAATTGTGGTACAAATAAATGCAACACTTCAATAATTTTTATGTGTACAATAATTTTATGTTATGATTCAGTTACATTGATAATGTTTTATGTTGTGCAGCCATTATTATAACTCCCCTTTTCCAACTTATTTTTTTACCATTAGCAGAAACTTCGAGCCTCATAAACATTAACTCCCCTTTCTCCCTCCTTCCCACCACTGGAAACCACTTATCTATCAGCTTTACTTTCTATATATCTGCCTATTTCATGTAAGTGACATCATGTAGTATTTGTCCCTTTGTGACAAGTCAGTATGATGTTTTCAGCATTCATCCATGCTGTGGAAAGCACCGACTTCATTTCTCTGTATGTTGCTGTTGAAGTGCCATTGAGTCCGTTCCGACCCATAGCGGCCCTGCATAGGGTTTCCAAGGAGAAGCTGGTGAGCTTGAACCGCCGACCTTGCAGTCCAGCGCATTAACCCACAGTGCCACCCCAGGACTTGAGTGGTTTTCCATGGTACACTACATTCTGTTTATCCATTCATCTGTTGAGAGGCATTTCGGTTGTTTCTACCTTTTGGCTACTGGGACTAGTTCTGCAATGAACATTGTTTTTTGGGTATGAAAATTTTTATAGATGCAGAAATCTGAGAATATAATCTAAAGAAATTTGATGTTGCTTTTGTGGTAGGTCAACTAGTAGAGGAGTAAGTTCTGGTAAGGCTAGACTTCCCTGTTGTTGTTGTTGTTAAGTGCCATTGAGTCGATTTTGACCCATAGTGACCCTGTACAGGATTTCCAAGGAGCAACTGGTGAGCTTTAACCACTGACTTTGCAGTTCAAACGACTTTGCAGTCTGAACCATTAGCTCACAGCGCCATGCTAGGACGCCTCTAAATTAATTAGGGACTTAGAGGCTGAATTGTTAAAGTAAACGCACAATTACACAACACTAACATTTTCAGGGAGTAAAAGTCATGTATAAACGGATATTTAAAGGTACCAGTAGGAGGCTGTTTTGTTATGTGGCCAAGAGGTGAGAAAGACCTGGAGGTCTTTCTCCAAAGAAATTGTGCAGGTTGCCACCAAACTATGAGAATATATCACTCATTATTACTTCGAGCAAACAAGCACAACTTCTTTAGTCTATCTTGGTCCAAGATTTTGTAATATGTGCAAGTATCCACTAGGGGTTACACAGAGACTATTGAAAACTAGAGGTATTCATGTTGAAGAAGAACTGTGTTTCCAAATTCACTGTACTCCAGAAACTCTGATTTTTAAAGATTTTCACAGTTGCTGAGGCAAAGCCTTAGAAAATGCCTTATTTTTTATGCTATAGCAAACGTATTGGATAATAGCTAAATGGACGCAACATTAACATGTATCACCTTCATAAAAACGAAATAATCTATACATACGAATCTGAGCCCTCTGAATCCGATTCATCATCACTGTGTCCTTCTGCCTTCCATCTCTTAAATCGATCGATCAGTTCAGTCAAATACGAAGTCTTCTTTGAATTTTTTACAATGAATTTGTGTTTCAGAAGTTCTTTAGCTGTAGGACGCTAAGGGAAAACAAATTCATATGAATGTTTCTAGGCTCTTGATGATTGCAAGGGGCCATAGAAAGTTATTTGAATTACTAAGTTCAAAGATATAGTCACAAGGACAACTAAACATTTGTAGGGTACTTGCTAATTCTAGTTTTGAAGTGATTGTAAGCAACCAAATAAAACCCACTACTTTGGTAGCAATCTGTTACGGTCAATGGCTAAGATGTGGCCTCCCTACCAGCAAACCAGAAGACATGGCCTTCTCAAAAGCAGAGAAACACACGGCAGGATTTATAAAATAAATTAAACATTTGAAAATACTTCAAAATAATGCTTTAAGATACTCTTATTATATTTACTGTAATTTATTAATAAAAGAATGATCCTTCTCTTTAAAGCAGGTATAAGAAGCTTAGATAGTTCTTGTATATTTTGAGTCTTTGTTTTTGTTGTTAAGTGCCGTCAAATCGGTTTTGACTCATAGCGACCTTATATAGGGTTTCCAAGGAGCATCTGGTGAGCTTGAACCACTGATTCAAACCGACATTGCAGTCCAGTGCTTTAACCTGCAGTTCCATACCAGGACTCCAGAAGTTATAAAGTTATTTTTAAAAAGTGAAACAACCATACTGAAATTCGTCAAACAAATAAGGGGAGCCCACAGGATTTCAGAAAAAAAAACAAAACTACCACTCATGTTGGAATGTGTAAACATTAAATAAAAGTAGTTAGGCAGGCATAATTCATCATGAAAAATGAAAACCAGCTAAACAAAAAACATTGTGCGCATTTATATACATACTTAAAAATTACATCATCAAAGATGAATTTTATTTGTCAAACTTATTTCCCCTTGAACCAGGAAATGATCAGAAGGTGAAAACCAAGAAAAAGACACCAGGGAAGGAGAAAAGTAAACAAGTCTAGTTAAGACCTGAATAGAAAGAGCAATATAGAGGGAAGAACTAGGTTCTTAGATGGACCTTACAAAATTCCCACAGGCATTGTACACCTCGCTGTAGGCAAAGCCACTTTTGCTGCATCTAACGTACTAACTGAAACAAATAGTAGTAACAGCAATATATACTTACAAAGGATGGATCTTTGTTTAAGCAAGCATCAATAAACTCCTTAAAGGATTTAGTAAATTCTCCAACAAGAGTTGGTGGATTGTTCTTTGGAATAAGAAACAGAACTCTCATTGGATGCATATCGGAGTTAGGTGGCTCTCCCTTAGCTAGTTCAATGGCAGTAATTCCCAGTGACCAAATGTCAGCCTAAGGTAAGAGGAAAGAACAGAAACATCACCTTGAAATTTAATTCCAACAAACTGACCACAAAGTATCCTGTGGAATTAAATGGTCATACTGTATTCATGTGTCTCAAAAATATGGGGTTCAAAAATATTTACTCTTAGAATTCATTTATTGGAAAACAAAGACATTTATTGAATTCCTTACTATGCGCCAGGCATCATTCTAGGTAGCAGAGATTCAGACTGTGAATAAGACAAACAAAAATCTCTGGTCTCAAGAGTCCTATAGTCTAGTAGACAATGCAATTTCAGATGGGTGCTAATAAGTTCTATGGAGAAAAAAAAAACAGGGTAAGAGAATAATGAATAATGGGGCTTGTTGCTGTTATGAATGGGGCTGTTGTTGTTGTTAAGTACTGTCTCGACTCACAGCGACCCTGTACAGGGTTTCTAAGGAGCAGCTGGTTTGCTTGAACTGCCAACCTTGCAGTTCAAACTGACAATGCAGTCTAGTGCATTAAGTAATACTTAAATAGACACCAGATGGGGATGAAGTTTATTTAAAATAGAGGAAAGGCAAATGAGCTCCAACTCTCAGTGACTTTACATAGGGTTTCCAAGGCTGTAAATCTTTGCAGGAGCAAAAAGACTCGTCTTTCTCCTGCAGAGCCACTGGTTGGCTTGAACCACCAACCTTGTGGTTCACAGTCCAGTGCTTACCCTAGAGACACTACGCTCCTGGAAAGCCTCATATGTTATAGTAAAATTATTTGGATTTTATTACAAGTGGGATGGTAAGGCACTGAAGGGAATCGAGCTAAAATGTTATAATAGGATAAATTGCATTTATCAATGGCATTTAAGCAGCAAGATTTGCTGACATTTTCTATAGCTTAAACACTTGGAAAGAAATCTAAATCAAGGTAGTTTATTATATAGGACAGTGTAGTACTTAAAATCTGTTGGTATGCACAGAACAATTTTTCCTGGTAACCCTTTACCTTTGAGTCATAAGCGGACTGTTGAATAACTTCAGGAGCCATCCAAAATGGCGTCCCTACGAAGGTATTTCTTTTAATCTGTGTATCTGTCAGCTGGCCAGCAACTCCAAAGTCAGCAAGTTTAACATCTCCTTGTTCTGAAAGCAAGACATTGGCAGCTGCGAGGGAAAAAAGGAAAAGTGAAACTCAGCTTTCTTAGCATGTATCTATTTTTCTCAGGTTCATATAAGACTTTGCATACCTTTTATGTCCCGGTGAATTTTCTTTTCTGAATGTAGATAGTCCAGACCTTTCAAAATTTCTTTGAGCATGGTAGCAATCTGGAACTCATCAAATGGACCAGCTCTTAGCTTGGAGGGAAAAACACACACAAGTTTGGAAAAAATACAATTCAAAATTGAGATTATTTTGAATACTGAAATTAATATTATCTTTGAATAATGGAATCACTTAAAGGTATGTATATGAAGCATTTCTATTTATTAGACAAATGAGAAAAAAAAACTTCTAAAAGGTGGGAGAAGAGAACAAAGGAGTTATTAAGGCAAGGACTGATTTTAAATGATTTTAAATGATTAAATTTAATCTTGAAAGATAATACATGCTCTTTTACCTATATTGCCATTAAGTTACCGTCCAGTCATTTTTGACTCATAGCAACCCTGTACAGTGACTGGTGGGTTTGAACGACAAACCTTGAGGTTAGAAGTTCAGTGCTTATCCTATAGCATCACACTAAGACCTCTTTACCCATATGCTGTTGTTCAGTGCCATAGAGTCGGTTCCAATCCATAGTGACCCTGTATAGGGTTTCCGAGGAGTGGCTGTTGAGTTCGAATCGCTGACCTTGCAGTCCAGTGCATTATCCCACAGTGCTATACCAGGACTCCCATTTACCTATACACTAGCTCCAAGTTCTGAGGTTCCTGAATATTTACATTAAAGTTTTAACAAATATATGCTTAAATAATGACCAAAAAAAGCTCTTATTTTTACTTCCAAGATGGGAAAAAAGGAAACCAACTACTTCAATTTTAGCATTTGCTATTACAAAGTTATTAAATATTTACACTAAACCGATATTTAGATCAGATAGTCCATGAAATGTCTTCAGCAACCCAACTTGATCATGAATCAGCTGTTGTATTTATGTGTTTCAATAATATTGCAAAGCATAGAGACTTTACTGAGACTCAAATTGCAAGTTTAGCCAGTAATATAATAATTACACTATTCAGAATTTCACTTTTTTTTAATAGATCAAATCATGGACGGATAAGATTTTTCAAGTAAATGTAACACATTTCCCTTTCTTTCTCCATCCTTGTACCAAAGCCAATAGTTCCAACTGGAATACAAGGAAAGCAATGATTCGGTTTCAGGAGAATTTGTAATGGAATATCTGAAAATCTCTCTTTAAAATAAATGGTTATTTTAAAATTCTGGTACCTCATAAAGCACAAACACTGGATTGTACAATGTTATTACAGGAAAGGGTGGGAATCTAAGTCAGAGCCGAGGTAGAGTTCTGTTTGCTGGGAGGAGGGAAGAGGTGGTGAAAATCAAACATGCCCACTCTGCCACACACTGGGAGGGATTCCCAGATCTTTGGCACCTTGAATATTTTATCTTACATGAATGCCATATTTATGCTGAATGAAGGACACTTTCATGTTGAAATTTAACAGCTTAAAATAGAAACCATACTTTGGCCTCACCATTTAATATGAACTGTGGTCTGTGTATATAATATACTCCAGAGACTTCTGTAGTTCAATGGGCTTCTTTCCTAGGTAACATTATCTATTTACTTTCAAATCTGCCAACTTCCACCCTAAACATTACTATTTGAACAGTGGTGATTAAAGTCATTCTAAAAGGTAAAAATGGTACACTAATTTAATGATTACTAGCAATAATTGAAAGTACTATCAAATAGCTGAAGGACAAATGTCATATTACTTAGTATTGTTAGTCATAAAATGCTGCCAGGACCAGAGCAGATAGACACACAGTTACTTGCTCAACTAGTAGTTGAAAACTTGGTGGTTTGAACCAACCTAGAGGACCTCAGAAAACAGGGCTGGGATCTGCTTATGAAGGGTCACAGTTCTAGTCTGCCACACATGGGGTCACTAGGAGTCAGAATCAACTCAATGGCAGTGTCTAACAACAACTTCAGAAATTGGCCAAGATGGCAGACTAGGCAGACGTGCTATACATACTCTCTACAACAAAGGTACTAGAGACCAGATGAAACAGATACAGATGATAATCCTGGAACGCTTGAGCTTCCGAAGAAACGATACAGAAGTGGATTGAATACTGGCTTAGAGAAGTTGATCAGAGGCAGTGAGACAGGTGAATAGTCAACTGGCCTGATTCATAGTGACCATCTTGAATGTTTGCTAGCAGCATAAGAGCCCCGTGATGGCTTGGCGATACACATGCACATTGGTGGCTAGCCATGGTGAGAATGGTGTGATTCTCTCTGGTTCCCTACACTCACCTGGTGACCAGAGGAGTGGCCAGCTCCCATTCTCATCTAACTTCAGCATAGCCCCTTCTCTAACAGAAGTTAGAGCCTCCTGTTATGAGTGCAGTGCTTGGAGGCACGTTCACTGTGCCTTTTCAGACTAGTAGAATGTGCAAAAGCCAACCCCAGTCAGCCCTAGAGAGGAACTCTCCTAAGTAGCCTCCCTGCCCCCAGCTGCCTTCTGGGCCTGAAAGTTTCCTTCTGGGAAGAAAATTCTGGGAACAAAGACCCTGATCTCAGTCACTGTTACAACCAGCACAAACAACTTCCAGATTGAGTGTTGTGAGCATAGATAACACCTAGACTTACAGGACCTCCATCTAGGGCTGGCCACACCACTCTCTCATCCCTCCCCCTGCCCGAATTTTTCCTTTCTTTTTTTTTTTTTTTAATTTCTATTCCCTTGTTTTTATCCTTTCTTTTTTTCACTTTTCTTTATTCTTTCATTCTGTTTCTCCCCTCACCCAACATGCATACTTTTTTCCTGTTGATTTTTCTTTACCATGATCTTGTCTCTTTCTCTTTTCTTCTTCCCTATCCTTGGTTTTGTGTGCTATAATTTTTCTTTCTTCTCATTTTTTTGTCTTCTGTTTTATTTTCCTTTCCGTTTTTTTCTCTTTTGAGTTATTTTATTCTTTTTTCTTGCTGCTGCTTTTTTTCACTCTCCTTTATTATTTCCTTCATTAATTTTTTTCGTGCGTGTGCATATATTTTCCTTTTTTCCCCCCACCTGATGGGAGACAGCAATTGTGCCCATGCAACCCAGCAAAAACCATACCCTCTACAACCCTGTCTACTTAGCAAGAGACACTACTATCTCCTGTACCCACTGATCAACGACAGACAGCAGCCCAAACCAACCAAATCCATTCTGAACAAACAGAGGACAAAATAGATGACTTTTTTTTTATTGTTGTTAAGTGCCGTCAAGTCGGTTCTGACTCATAGTGACCCTGTATAGGGTTGCCAAGGAGCTGCGGGTGAGTTTGGACCACCGACCTTACAGTTCAAACTGACCTTATGGTCAGTCCAGTGCTTATCCTACAGCGCCACATTAGGACTCCAATAAAACAGAAATTAAACACTTAAACACATCTGGATATTTCACCAAAAGAGTGACAAGGAGAACCCACAGTCTGGATTTTTTTTTTTAAACAATACAATCACATAAGGGGTTGTTGTTGTTAAGTACTGTGGAGTTGGTTCTGACTCATAGTGATCCTGCAGAGAGTTTCCGAGGCTGCAAATCTTTACGGGAGCAGAAAGCCTCATCTTTCTCCAGTGGAACATCTGGTAGTTTCGAACTGCTGACCTTGAGGTTAGCACCCCAATTCGTAACCACTACGCTACCAGAGCTCCTTCACATAAGGGGTAGTCTCTAACATTTATAGAAGACTTCAACACCTCAATAAGAAAAAGTTAAGTAATCCATTAAAAATAATGGACAGCAGACATGAACAAGCAGTTCACCAAAGAAGACAATCAGACTGTCAACAAACAGGATAATACATGCTCATGATAATTAGCCACTGTTGTTGTGGTGAAGTGCTGTCGAGTCGATTCCGACCCATAGCGACCCTGCACAGGGTTTCCAAGGAGCAGCTGGTGAGCTTGAACCTTCGACCTTGAAGTTCAAACGGCTTTGCAGTCTGGCGCGTTAACCCACAGCGCCACACCAGTACTCCATTGTTGTTGTTAAGTGCCGTCGAGTCGGTTCTGACCCATAGCGACCCTGTACAGGGTTTCCGAGGCTGTAAATCTTTACGGGAGCAGAAAGCCTCATCTTTGTCCCGCGGAGCAGCTGGTAGTTTCGAACTGCTAACCCTAAGGTTCGCAGCCCGATTCGTCAATCAAAACCACACTGAGATACCATTTCACCCAGCTTTAATAGCAAAGTTAAAAGAAAGGAAAATACTGGCAAGGTTGTAGAGAGACTAGAACCCTCCTATACAGCTGGTAGAACAGTAACATGGTACAACCATTGTGGAAAATGGTATGGCACTTGCTCATAAAGTTAGAAATAGAAATACCATATGACCCAGTAATCTCTCTACTTGGCAAATACCTTAGAGATATAGGAGTGGTGAAAGGAATACATGTCATTGCAGGACAATTCACAATAGCAAAAAGATGGAGAATGGTTAAACAAACTTTGGTACAAACACACAAAGAAATACTACTCAATGTTGAAGAATAATGTTAAATCTGTGAAACACCTCATAACATGGTTGAATCTAGAGGACAATTGTTGTTGTTGTTAAGTGCCGTGGAGTCGATTCTGACTCACAGCGACCCTGTACAGGGTTTCCAAGGCCGTAAATCTTTACGGGAGCAGAAAGCCTCATCTTTCTCCTGTGGAACAGCTGGTGGTTTCAAACTGCTGAGCTTGTGGTTTGCGGCCCGATTCGTAACCACTGCGCTACCAGAGCTCCTTAGAGGATAATAGGCTGAGTGAAATTAGTCAATCACAAAAGGGCAAATATTGTATGAGATTGCTATTGTAAAAAACTCAAAAAAAGGATGATCATACTAAAAAGAAATGTTCTTTGAAGGCTACAAGGGGCTAAAGAGGAGGGGGAGTCATTCACTGACTAGAGTGTTGCTGCTGTTGTCGTTAGGTGCCATTCAAATCAGTTCAACTCATGGTGACCCTGTATAGGGATTTCCAAGAACACCTGATGGGTTTGAATTGCTGACCTTCTAGTTAGCAGTCCAGTGCTTATTCTACAGTGCCACATCAGGGTAGACATGTGTTGATTTTGGTAGTGGAGAAGGCAACATACAAGAGGGAGGTGGGCAGAAGAATGATGAAGG